GATTTTTGTCGGCTTTTTTTTTATTGTTAGCTTAGGGTTTAGGGTTAGTTTTGATAATAAAAATGTATAAGTGGGTCTTGGTAGGGTTTATATTATTAAATCGAGGCCCCTAATTTCAAGCTTCAGCCGCGACAATTATTTTTATCGGGTATATTGTTTTATATCGTTTTGGAATTTAAATTGGTTTAAGATTTATTCATATCGCATTGCTTTACAAATTAATTAAAATTAATAGTGTTATATTTATAGTTACTAGAATAACAACTACTGCCACAATGCAAATTCTTTTTTTTCATTTATCATAATTTTTATCAACGTATTTTGTAATTACATTTAACATTATCTACTTGCCAAGAGGATTGCATAATAATTGCTTCTCTAACACATGTGAGCGTTAAGGAATACTATCTAACGCTGGAAACTTGACAGAATCCAATGAACACAGATAGCTTTGATCATCGTGGCGGATTAGCGGGATTTGACCTTTTTTAAATACCCTAAATTTATAAACGTAGGTCCTTATTTGATATTTCAATTCATATAAAGAACCCTAAAAATTAGATCTATACCAGGCAGTGTTAGCAATTGGACAATTGGACAATCAGCTAATGAATATTATTGGTTGGCCCAATTGTTCCAGTCCAATTTTCCAATTAATCATTTAATATCATTGGTTAATTTGATTTTCCAGTTGTCCAATTGCCAACACTGATACCAGGTGTTTGATAAGTCCCTGGACAGGACCTTTTTGTTATTTACTTGAAAAGTTCCTAGATAGGGCCTTTTTATTAATAAAAGACGTAATAGTTTTGATAAGTAAAGTGATCCATAAAAAGGTCCTGTCCAGGGACTTATCAAACACCCAGTATAGTTAAATTTGTGACGTAAATAAAGGTCAAATTCCGTAATCCGCCGCGATGTAATTTGAATTATAAGGTTTGTTTGTTGTATTCAAGATCACATATCAGATATAGCATTTCCGATTATTGTATTTACTAGATCTTGTAAACCCTTAATATAGAATCAAATCTTAACATGTATAAAAGTTTACACCGTTATTAGCCAATTTTGCTGCTAAGATATTTGGAAAGTAATTCATTAAATTCATAAAAAATAATGGAATAAAAATTTGCATTTAAATATTTAATAACGAAAGCAATAGGATGTAATTTATTTTAAATATCATTACATCAATCGATTACAAACTTATTACAGTACCAATAAACTTAGCTATGTATTAAATTTAATGATTTATTACACTTAAAATTTGAAATCAATTCAAATTGCTTTTAGATTTGTATCAGCTTGGATTATATTTAGATTTCTGGTTCAATCTAGGTAGATTCTAAATATACAATAATTCCATTCCGACATATAACATGTTTATCGTGATATTAACAAAATTTTTTAATGCGCTTTGCTTGTCCTCCTTTTAAGCCCAGCTCTAAATTTTTTACGATTAACATTTTTACTTTAATAGTTATTGGTATCACTTCGCTCTGGTCTCGCTTTTTGTTTTTACTGTTTATTGATAATATCACATAATATCCATAATATTATGCAATTTGTACATATCTAGGTACGGTATTTCAGCATAATGGCATTATGCATTACGGAATTACGGCATTACGACCAGGATTAAAATTCGGCACAAATATGCTGTGCAAACAAATTTTTTTATACGTAAATGCCATTCTATTTTTTGTGCTATTTGTACAAACCATTATCAATTTTGTGCAAATAGCATACATGCACAACGACATTACGACTCAAGATAATTACGGCAGACAATATGGCATATGTCATAACCGTATTAATTACAAAATCAAATCTATCGCCCAACATGAGTCAGAATATTGCATTTAGTGAAAGCATTTAGGTGATTTAACTGTAATTTGCATACGTGAAATCAGACACTTCAAAGAATAGTATATTAGTATTTCGATCTAAAAGATTAGAATTTACTATTATAACATTATATTATACACAATGTAGCGCTCTCAAAATCATTTCTTGTAAGACGCAATTCCATGCGATCCAAATGTAATAAGACATGTTATTGCAAGATGGCCTTTACGCATACTGCATGTAAATATTTTATCTGTGCTACATGTTACAGAGACACGTACGTACGTATAAGATACTCAGATTTTGTTGGTAAGTTAAAATAAAACCGAGTTTCTGTTTTAGCTTGTTTTAAAAAAAGTTATAACAATTTAAAATTTACTAATATTTTGTTCTGTGACTACGATACTAATCACAATAAACTGATGACATAAGTATTCACTTATATGAGAAATTCTTTTAAATAATTCCTTCTATCTTTCATTGAATTAATATCACTGTATAACTCATAACAATTTTTTTATAACACATTAACATTAAATCATCTAAGAATAATGGCCGATGAATTTTATGATAAAAGATATGAGTTTAATGGAAAATGTGCAAATTGCAAACGATATAACACATCTAAAGCTTGGTGTCAAACGTGTGACCCTCAGAGAACAACGCAAGGATGGACTAGTGGAAATAAGGAAGTCGATGATTGCATTAAAGAATTTCAACTTAAGGCTACAGAATACGAAGAAATAATCGAATGGGTTCCTTTTAATAAATTAGTTAATATTCAAATCATTGGTGACAGATTTTTAGCAACGTGGTTGGATGGAATACGATCTATAAAATATAAATATAGTAGTAAATGTAAATATATGCGATCACGTATGAAATCACATAAGGTGGAACTTAAAACGTTAACTAGGTCACAAAATTTATCCGATATGTTCGAAGAAGTAAGTCAAATATTGAATAAATTAATGATATTGCATAAGATATATACTGTAGTTTCTTTTGATTTGTGTTTATATGTTTAATTAGTTTGTAGATTACGTACAGCTAAAGAATAATGAATTTAAAGTCTATGGATTAACCCAAAATACAGCAACAAATAATTATATGTTAATATTTGATGAATTTTGTTCCAAAAGAAGGCTAGTTTATGGGACATGTGCAAATTGCAAGCGATATAATACTTCTAAAGCTTGGTGTCAAACATGTGATCCTCAGAAAACAGCACAAGGGTGGACGAGTGGAAATAAGGATGTTGATAACTGTATTAAAGAATTTCAACTTAAAGCCACATCTTATGGAAATGTAATCGAGTGGATTCCTTTTAATAGATTAGAGAATATTCAAAGCATTGGTGATAAATTTTTAGCAACTTGGTTAGATGGAATACGATATGCAAAATGTGAATATGTAGATAATAGATATAAATATACACAGTCACGCATGTCAGCGTGCATAATTAAATTTAAAATATTGACTGGTCCACAAAATATTCATACCATTTTAAAAGAAGTTGAGTTTATATCTTTAATAATGTATAGTTTAATTTATAGTAGATTTAATTCATATATATTCTATATTTATATATTTATAAGTTTACAAATCATGTTCAGTTAGAAGGTGAACGTATCTAT